ATTTTTCAATCTCCATCTTAATTTCATTCTTGACCCAATAGTTGTTCAGCAGCAGGTTGTTTAATCTCCATGATTTTTTGTAGTTTTGTGTGTTTCTCTTGTGATTTAGTTCTACTTTAATTTTGCTGTGGTTTAAGAAGGTGCATGGTATAATTTCAATTTTTTTGAATTTCTTGAGACCTGTTTCACAGCCTAAGATATGATCAATCTTGGAAAATATCCCATGTGCTGCTGAGAAGAATGTGTATTCTGTAGTTTTGGGGTAGAATGTTCTGTAAATGTCTGTTAGGTCCATTTCATTTAGTACTTGGTCTAAGTCCATTATTTCTTTATATATTTTCTGCTTTGATGATTTGTCAAGCTCTGACAGTGAGTTGTTGAGGTCCCTGGTGATTACGATGGTGCTGTTTATTTCTTCGTTTAGCTCTAGTAAGATTTGCTTTATGTATCTGGGATTTCCTGTGTTGGTGCAAAATGTTTAGGATTGTTGTGTCTTCTTATTGGATAGCTCCCTTTACCATTACATAATGACTCTCTTTGTTTTTCTTTACCTTTGTTGGCTTAACATGTACTTTATCTGATGTGAGGATGGCTACACTTGCTCTCTTTTGATTTCCATTTGCATGGAATATTTTTTTCCATCCTTTCACGTTGAGTCTGTGTGCATCCTTGTGGTTTAGATGTATTTCCTGGAGACAGAAGATACTTCGGTTGTGTTCTGTCATCCATTCAGCCAGCCTATGTCTTTTGACAGGAGCATTCAGTCCATTAACATTAATTGAGAGCATTGATATGTGGGATGTTGGTCTGTTCATCCTGTTGGGTAGTCCCTTATTCCTTTGTTTTACATCTTGTTCTATTGTTTTATAGGAGTTGCAAATTTTGGAGTTTGTTTTTTTAGGTGAATTTATACTGGTGGTTATCTGTCGTGCTGGGTTGTGTATAGCGCTGTTCTGAGTACGTCATGCAGAGCAGGTCTGGTCATGGAAAATTCCCTCAGTGTTTGCTTGTCCGGAAAAGACTTAATTTCTCTGTCTATTATGAAACTTAATTTTTCAGGATGCAAAATTCTAGCTGGTAGTTGTTCTGTTTAAGTCAATTGAAGATGGGGCCCCAAGCCCTTTTGGCTTGTAAGGTTTCCACTGAGAATTCTGCAGTTAGCCTGATAGGTTTTCCTCTGTAGGTTATCTGATGCTTTCATCTTGCTGCTTGCAGAATTTTCTCCTTCATTTTGACTTTAGCCAGGTTGATTATTATGTGTCTTGAAGATGACCTATTTGCTGTGAATCTTCCTGGTGTTTGATGTCCATCTTGTATCTGTATGTCTAAAATTCTGGTGATACCTGGGAAGTTTTCCTCAATAATTTCTTCAAATAGATTTTCCATGCTTTTAACTCTTTCTTCTTCTCCCTCAGGGATATCTATAATTCAAATGTTAGTTCACTTCACATCATCCCATATCTCTCTCAATGATTGCTCAGACATTTTTATACTCTTCTCTGCCTCTTTGAATGACTGAGTTATCTTGAGAGCCTCATCTTCAAGCTCTGAGATTCTTTTTTTTTCTTTCTAATTATTCTATATTTATATTTATTTTTGACAGGGTCACAAAGAGACTCAAAGGCCCAGAGTAAAGTGCATGTGATGGAAGAAAATCATTTTTCACTTCCTTGTGAGATTCTTTATTCTCCTTGGTTTAGCCTATTGTTAAAGCTTTCTACTGCATTTTGAAATCCCATAAATGAATCTTTCATTTCTTTAAGTTCAATTATTTCCTTTCTCATGTTGTTTCTCTACTGACTTTTTTCATTTTTTTCATTGATTTCCTGAAATTTTGAGGGGCTCCTTTTTGTTGCTTTTGAACTTTCTCTTCAATTCCATTCATCTTTTTTGCCATCCATATTCTGAATTCCATTTCTGTCATTTCAGCAATTTCCTTGTGGGTGGGGTCCACTACTGTAGCTCCATTGTGTTCCCTTGCGGGTATTGAACTATTTTGTTTTTTCATGTTGCCAGAGTTCTTTTGCTGGTTTCTTCTCATCTGGCTCCTCTTCTCTCAGCTCTTGGTTGATAGGATTGCTGGGCACCTGTTATCCTTTGCTGGGGACTCTCTCAAACTAAGTCCAGGAGTGATGGCTGCTCAGGGCGGGGGGGGGGTCCTAAGTGAAGTGTTTGACCTTAGGGAGGCTCTGCCAGCCCAACAGTAGGGGTGGGTATTCAGTTGTGTGGTCTTGGTCCAGTCACCACTCTGGAGTTCTAGGAGTGGAATCGCATGCCCAGTCGGGACCCAGGAGCTACAGGGCCAGAGCCTCAGACTTGGGTACAGCAACAGCTTCAGAGCTGGCTCTGATTATTCTGGAGGCAGCGCCATCCATATGGGGGCTGTTCCACCAGTGTGGGGATTGCTGATGGCCAGTCATGCAGGCAGGGGTTTGTCTCAGTGGCCCAGGGTCCACGTAGGTGGGCTGGAGCTTCTGGTTGGCTGAGGTTCTTCCCTCACTCCTAGGACCCACTGAGGTAGTCGCCTCAGACTTCTCAAGTGGTGCCTCAGGCTCCTCCTCTCTTCAGCTCCCACGACAGAGAGGAGTTGTGCTTGGCCCTCAGTCACCAGGCGCTACATGAGGGAGCTTCTGTTCCCTCCACAGCCCAGCTGGGGTGATGCAAAGGTTACTGCTGGATGGCTGGGTCCTGAGAAGACCCAGCTCTATGCACCAGGTTGATCAAGATGTCGCCAGCTGCAGAAGTCTGGGATTGGCAGGCACCAGATCTCTGCTGCACCTGCCTTCTAGTGGAATATCTCTGCACAGATGGCTGAGCAGCTCCTCAGTCAGCCCAGAGGTCTGCAGTGGAAGAGGGAGACCCCTCACAGATCGAGCTGCCTGTAACTTTTGTTTCTCTCCTAAAAAGCCATGATCCCTTGGGTTGCCTCTATCCTACTGTCTTTACCTCTTCCCAACAGCATGAAATGTATTGGGACCCCCAACTTAATCTTCAAGATAGCAGGTGATACTTGTAAGAATCAGCCATGCCCTCTTTGAGTTGGTAGACACAGTAATGAGCTATCAAGTTGTTCTCCCTGTCAGTGGTTGATGCTTGCTGGAGAGAGCCAGCTGCCAAGATTTTTTTTTTGTGCCTGTGATAAGCTCTAGTCCCTCAGGTGGAACACGTGAATGTGCAGGCTTTGGGAGGGGCCCTGTAGTTCCCAGGGAGTTTCTTGGACACCCCCCCCACCACAACCACCACAGCAGAAGTGTGTGGAAGAGCAAGGCTGGGCATGGTTAGGTTGTGTGAAGCTGGAGGGCTTTGCAAAGCCTTGACAGGGCTCAGAAGTTGTTTTCCCGGTGAACAGGGGGAGCTGCTGGGAGGAGAGTCAAAACAGGTTCTCCAGATTGAGAGGACTGGTTGTGGGAGAGAGGTTGCAAATCTTCAACAACCTGGGCACTGTGCATGATTGCCATGGCACCCTGGGCTGGAATCTTCCCCACTAGAGGACCCACCCTAGTCCAACAACGCTGCTTTGAGCCTCAGCAGGGCACCAAGGTTACTTCCCCCGTCTCTAGGGAAAGCTGCCAGGGGCAGAGTCAAGGCAGGTTCTCCAGACCCAGAGGCTGAGCATGGAAGAGGGACCACAAATCCCCTCAAATCCAGGCACAATGGCACTGGTGCTTGGTTGCTATGGCACCCCAGGCTGGGATCTTCCCCTGCCCCAGAACCTGCCTTAGTTCAACAGTGCAGTTTTCCTAAGGGGGGATGGGCACTATTCCAGATCACTGTGTCTTGGACCCCCAGTTTTCTCTCACCAGTTCTGCCCATATGGGCTCTCTCACTTCCCAAGTCCAACTCCCAAACCTCCCCCTTGTGTTCCCAAGCAACCCGCTTGAGTCTGGGGGTCACTGGATCTGGCCTGAATATCTGACCCACTACTGTGCATCTCCATGAATCACCAGCTGGCAGGGAGCTCCCAGATCGGGCACCCCAGGCCCACTGCAGGTCCTCAAGGGGGAAGGCATGGGCCCCACTCTCTGTGGCACCCTCAGACTGGAGTGCACACCAGCTGGGGATGGCACTTACCAACTTCTAGGCTCAGACTGCTCTCCTGGTTGCAGTGGGCAGGGGAGGGGTGGGGCAGGATAATGGTATGAATGTAAGAAAGCTGGCTCTCTGGCCTCTCAGGTCACCTTCCTAGGAGAGGAACCCTCCACGGAATGTCCAAGCTCTATAATGATGCAAGTTCTCTCCACAATTCCATGGTTGCCATAGTGCTTGGGCTCATGGAGGTGGAAAAGCCTCCAAGTAACTTGGTAGCCTGCTGATCACCGAAGGAGTGTGTGGGGGGAGAAGGATTCCCTCTTACCCTTTCACTGGGCTCCAGTCTCTCTGGGTTTGATTCTTGCTGATATATTTTTCCCTTTATTCTCTTCCTTTTCTACCTCGTGATTTTCCTCCATGAGGTTCCCGGCTGGTACTTCTCTCTATGATCCACGACTGAGCTGCATCCCCTCTCTCCTCTCCTTTATCTCTACCACTTTATAGTTGTGTGATTTTCATAATTAACTTAACCTGTGCCTCAGTTGCCTCCTCTTTTGTAAAACAGAGATAATAAGAGTACCTGTTTCATATAGTTTCTGTAATGATTGATGAGATATATGTGTAAAAAACTTAGCATAAGGCTTGACACATGATCAAGTCATTCTTGTCATCATTGTCATTAGCATAACCACACCATCACCACCCACACCACCCTCAGGTTCCTACTCTAAAAGGAAAATAAAATCTTATAACATTTTTTTAAAGCAAAGACCAGCACTCAGCAACAGAGAAAAATAGGAAATGGGAAGCTCAGTTGCATTCACTGTTTCCTATTCTCACCCTAACCATAACATCCCAAAGAGAATGTTATGAAGACTATACTTTCAGGAATCACTTCTATCATTTGTTATCAAGGAGAATGTATGAGACGGCAGACGATCCTTATGTCTCTATTGTCCCTGTTTCCACAGGTACCTGTCGGCTTGGTTGGGCCTATTACTGTGCTGGAGGTGGGGCAGCTGCAGCCATGTTGATCTGCACTTGGCTCTCTTGTTTTGCTGGAAGAAACCCCAAGCCTGTCATGTTGGTGGAGAGCATCATGAGGAACACCAATTCTTACACCATGGAGCTAGACCACTGCCTCAAACCTTGAGCTTTGAAAGAAGATTGCAGAGGGTGGGAAAGGGGAGGGATGGAAGCCCCCAAAAGAGGTACGAAGACTATACCAGTTATCACCCATCTGCCAGCAGTGTAGCCTTGTGTGTACATGATTTTAACCCAACTTTCATTCATTTTCACGTCCCCTTAAGCCAGTGAGTCAGTAGCTATTTACAAAATTCATCTAGAACAATGATTTCTGAAACGCTTACCCAACTGGCAAATACCCACTAATCTTCAAGTTCCAAAGTGCTCCTTTGTGCAAAAAAAGAAGATGCTTGCTCGAAAGCAAGCAACTCTTCAGAGTTCTACAGCTCCTGTCTACCACTTACCCCAAAGCTTGAAGGCTAGATAAGAGCAGTTGTGCAGGGAGAGACCAGGAGATGGACAGGGCTGGCTCCTACCATCTCATTCATACAGCCCTCCCCCGGGTATTTATTGCCACCCTTAAACATCTCTGGAGTACCACTGCTCAAATTTTTGTGACTGTCTCAGAACTATACCTTGACTCTTCCTTTTTTCTCCTCCTGCTTTTCTTCCTTCCCAGCTGTAGGGAAGTTTTGGGGGAGGGTGACTCCCAGTGGGGAAAATATTAAACAAGGATGCTTGCATATCACCTGGAGCCCCTTCCTCATCATGCTTCAGAATGTTCACAGGAGTTCATTTTCTGATCTGACTGGGTAACTGGCAAAAAAAATATAGTGGCAAGTATTTATTAGTCCTTTAGAGATACATAATGGTGTTCGTCAAATGTTCTGAGAAGAGACTAGAATTTGCTGGGCATTCAATAAATATGAATTCACAGCGATGATGACAAGGATGTTTCTGCTGAAACCTCATTGAAATTTCTATCAGAGTTCATTTTTATTGAATAGGAAATCCATGCTGTCCTTTTGCCCCTATAGTCACTCCTAGTGTGATACAAATTTCTCTGCCTGTTTCAAAGACTGCTCGTCAAATGATCTCTCCTCCATCTGGGGTGAGTTAGACTTGAAAGAACACATTCCTGATGTCACCTAGGGCTGATGTATTTTTAGGCCTGGCCTCCATCCCATCCGTGCTCAAGGTTGACGGATGGTGTAGAAGAACTTGGTGTCTCCTGGGGGCAGAATTTGTCTTAGTCCTCCCCCCAGTTAATTTGGGCCAGCTCTATGGTTCTATAACTACAGCTTTAGTGACTGGGGAGGGCCTGTGACTCAAAAGGCCAGCTTATTTGTTTCTATTCTTAATCATTCCAGTATGGTTTGGGGATAGCCTTACCTAAAGGGAGAGATATGGAAAAAAATGGCTTTATGAGCTATATGCCATCCCGGGAAGGGTCAGATTCTTATATTGATCTTAGGTACGTAAGTGAATTCAAACACATACTCCATTCATAGTTCATTCACTCATTTAGTCACTCATTTAGGAAACACTTCTTGAGTATCTTCCTATATGCCACATTCTGTGCTAAGTCCAGGGGATAAAACGATGAGGACACGATTTTTCACCCTAAAAGTGATAGTGGAGAGGTATTGAGAGACATGTTGATAAATAATTGCCATTGTGTTAAGGGCTACAAAAGTGAAGAAAGGGTGCTAAAGGATCATGGAAAAGTCATTAAACCAACTTGAGAGTGAAGGGGTTCATGGGAAAGCTTCCTAGCAAAGATGCTACCTAAGATGGGAGAAAGAGATGAAGAGTGGAAGTGCAGTCAGTGAAGGTAAAGAGTGCACTAGACAAGCAGTGGTGCCAGCCAAGGCATGGAGAAAACATGAGAATGACAAACAGTATAAAAAGGGAGGTGGCAAAAACTGAAGCTGAAAAGGGAAGCAGTAGCCAGATTCTGTGGGACCTTCTATGCCAGAATAAGGAGTTTGGATTTTATCCTAAAGGAGGGCCATTGAAAGAAAAGTGACATGAATACATTTGTGTTTTTTCAAAGATCATTTTGGCTAATGTGGGGAGAATAAATGAGAATCGGGAGAGAATTAGAGATATTTCCATAATCTAGGTGTAAAAAGATCAGGTCCTGAAGTAAGGTAGTAACTGTAAGGCTGGAACAAATGGCAGAATTTGAAAGAAGATACTTAGGAAGTAGATTCCACAGGATTTTTTTTTTTTGAGATAGGGTTTCACTCTGTTGCCTGGGTTAGATTGCAGCAGCATCATCATAGCTCACTGCAACCTCGAACTCCTGGGCTCAAGTGATCGTCCTGCCTCAGCCTCCCAAGTAGCTTGGACTACAGGCATGCACCACTGCACCTAGCTGATTTCTCTCTTTATTATAGAGATGGGTTCTCGCTCTTGCTCAGGTTGATCTTGAACTTCTGAACTCAAGCAATCCTCCTGCCTCAGCCTCCCAGTATGCTAGTATTATAGGCATGAGCAACTGTGCCCAGCCAGATTCCACAGGATTTAATGTCTAATGGATATATGTAGGCGAGGGCTAGTGAAAAATTTGGGACAACCACCCTGGTATGTGGGTGATTCCTCTCACCAAGATGACATGTAAATACAAGCAGAATAACAGATAGTAGGGAACTGGTGATTGAATTCATATCAAGTATTATCTCCCTCGTGGAATTGGATTAAGTGTTTAAGGTAAGGCAAGTTGAACATAACTCACTGGGAAGGAGACAATGTAATGGGTTTTGCAGCATCCCCTTTCTTTTTTTTTTTTTTTAGCATCCCCTTTCTTTAAGAAAGATGATTAGATGATTAAGAACAGCTAAAACAAAAATGAAACTGGCTTCAACTTCATTTTTATTGTGTAGACACAGTAATGTAGCCTTAATTTAGGAGAACCCAGTGTATGAAGAATATGTTAAATATTTGGGAAAAGTGGATCACTCTTTAGAAAAGACAGTTGGATCAGGTGATCTCTCTTCTCAGGCTGGGGAACCTTCTGGAATTCTGTGGGATAGAATTTGTGGAAGTGAATATGTAAGTCAGAGTAGCCGGCAGGAAGCAGATGGTATATTCAAGGAGTTTTGCTGAGACAAGCTTAATGAAGAGATTATTTATGGTGGTTTGTGCAGGGTTAAGGGAGATTACAAGTGGTGGTGAGGCACAAAAATACTATGAGCAGTGAGGATCTGTTATCACCCCTAAGACTGAAGGGACAAGGGGAAGAAATGGCATTATTGGAACCCAGTAGGAACTGTAGCTGTGTGAGAGGGGCTGCGTGACAGGAGCTGTGGCTTTAGGTAGCACAATGTAGTCTCTGCCCAAATGCAACACTATGTGGAGGGAGACGGGAATAAAATTTCGTATCTCACTGTCTTCCTGCTTTCTGTGCCCACCATTAGCCAGACCCAGTCAGACGGCAGCTGCCAAAGAAGCCTGTTGGCCACAGTCCATTGAGGTCAGCCTCCTTTGGCACAGAGCATGGCAGGGAAGGGCAGAGAATGGAGCTTGGGGGTGTGAGGAACAAATGGAAAATAACAGCTCAGCAAGTGTTCTTAGCCACCAGATGCTACTATTGCGTTATGCTCTGCTTCCCAGGAAGTATATGCTTTGTTGCCCTCTGTGGCCCGGATTCCTAAACACACTGTGAAGTAGTTGGACTCTGGATAGGAGACCGAGAAGAAAAGGGTTAATTTGAAAGAACACTTAAAATTGTCACCTTGTAGAAACTAATTGTGGGTAGAAATTAGGCAGAATGCTTCCTCCTCTTTTCTAGGGAAAGGGGACCAGATTTAAAAGGGATTTCTTTTTCTGTGAAGAAACCACGTCTGCAGGGGCTTATATTCAAAGAGGGATCTAGCCCCAAGTTCAATTTGAATTTAAATTCCTCCCTGCCTGTGTCTGGTTTCTTTCCTGCCAAGCCTTATTTTTGCGTAGATGTCTGACTAGCCTAGGTTCTTTCCCCCATGGCCTGGAGCAGACTCATAGAAGCTGAGTCTGCTTCTCTGACTGCTGTTGTCAGGTAGAGGGCTGAGTGAGTGAAGCAAAGACCTCAGAGGCTCTGAAGTTTGTCCTATGCCTGGCTGGCTGTCATGCTCCTTGCCTGTGCACGCAGGCTGAGTGCCTAACTATGGGTCCTTTGTGATGCTGGAATCACTTAGATCTTGAGGATAGGGTGAGAGGCCGGAGGCAATTCATCTGGGCTCACAGTCGACTGTGTATTTCTTAAGGGCCCATGTAGTAGGACACTCCTTTCAGAAAAGAATTTCAGATGGGCAGAAACTGCCCAATTGGCATGTCTTTTGGTCCAGAAGGTCAAAACTTCTACACCCGGGGTGGTTAAGTGTTAAATCATTCAGATCTTTCTCTAATGTCACCCCTCATTATCCCTGCTCCCCAGGGGAGTAGCTGCCTCTATTCATTTACAGCTGCTGGTAACTTCCAGGCAGTGTGTTCTGTTTTGAAGGAGCATGTGCCCCGAACTGAGAAGGAAAGGCTCTGGCCTCTGGGAAAGCAGTTCTGGCTTCTGCAAGAGTAGGTGACAATACGAGGTTTTGGTTGGATGAGGGAAAATCCTGGGAGGATGAAGGAACAAGACTGTCAAACAAGCTGCATTAAGAGGGAGGATATGGCCCCTTCAGAATGTGTTAGGTACACTTTCTTCAGAGTCTGGCATTCACTGTCTGTGGAAGTACTAATATGGAGTAGTTTCAGGATTGTATTTGGTCCCAAGGCAGCCTGGTGATGGGAAAAAATGGAAGTATCAAGAAAGCTAATAGTGAATGCATTTTGTAAATATGAAGGGCATCCCACGTGGTGGCTTGAGGGGAAAGGTGTGCTATTTCTAGAATTCACAATCAATCTCCAACCAGGACCAGTAAAGCTTTTTTAGTAGACAGGAGGCAGGACCCTTCCAAAGAGTCATCTCCTCCTTGTGTCCTTAGTTTAAGAGCATTTTCTGAGCTGGAGTGGGGGCTGGAATTGAAGGATATTTATTACTGGCCTCTCCCTCAGATGTAGAGAGATGCATTTTCAGCTTCAATTTTTTTACATCTACTTCTGAGATTAGGCTCTCTCAAGGTTGATCTCTTCTCTAAATGTATCGAA